AAGAAACATTTTTCCATCAAGTTCTTTGTAAGAAGAAAGTGAGTGAGATCCAGTTAAAAATTATGCTTGAACTGAGGAACTTAGTAAGAAAATTGCAGCAAGCACCTTTTGAAAATTATGATTTGTTGGTCCCAAATTGTGCTGACCACATCTTTTCAGCACAAATAAACATTTACTCCAATAAAAGGAGCCACTGTGATCTTTGCTGTTTGCTGTGGGCTCCTGGCTGCATGGTACTCTTGGGTAGGGATTTCAGTGTTTATGGATCTGAGAGCCAGTGAGGAAGTAACAGGCTGTTTTCTAAGTGCAGCTAATTTGGTATCTAACTTCTGAAACAATCTTCTCATTGAGGAGGTCACAATGGGAGCTGAATTTAGTTTTTTAACTAAATGTCTGTGTTCTCGCCATTCATGTGGCAGTTTAGTAAATGACAATGCTAATCTTAAAATATCTCTGATGAGGTGTTTTAGTATGGATTACCAAAGATCCACAATGGGCTTAACAGAAACTTGTGGAAATTTTTGGTGTTCCCTTAGGTTAATCAGATGCTAAATGGAGTATTTGATTCCCTAGTGCTCCTACCATCAGAAAGAGTAAAACATGCTCTTTATTTTATTTTATTTTATTTTTTTTTATTAATATTTTTTATTTTCCATTTTAAATTTAGATAAGAAACAAGGTTGCTTCACAAGTCAGTACGAGGTCCCTCTCCCTTTCCCTCCCCTCCTCCCGTGCCCTCCCCCCCCCCCCGTTATCCCCTCATTCCCCCAGGGAGGGTGAGGCCCTCCATGGGGGTGTCCATATTCTGTCATTTCATATAGGGCAGGGCCTAGACCCTTCCCCAAGAGTTCAGGGTGAGAGTGCACCTCACATTGTTCTTTATTTTAATAGAATAGAATTTTATTCATGGTTTCCAATCTTCCCCTCTCCTCTCTAGAGGATGCATGGACTCTTACAGTGATGGTTAAGTTGAGAAGACTATTTCCCTGGTTAATGATTGTTCTACCACATTAATTCAAGACTTCCTAAAGATAATTAGATTAAAACAAAACAAAAATGAAAAGACCTTTTAAACATTTTTTTAAAAAACTACACATAGCTCAGTTTATACTTCCTACTCTGCCCTGTGGATATCACAAGCCAACAAGGTCATAACCTGTGTGGGCTCAGCTGTCAATCATACCTCACTAAGCAGATGGGTACAGCATGGGAAGATGGTTCCCTTTGACACACAGGAGGAAACAAATATGATGACCGAACCTCTTCTTGTTCTTAGATTTTCCTTTATTATTCCATCCTTGCTTGAATATTAATCAACTTGGGAGAAATAAATAAAAAGTACTTAAATTTTTCTGTGTACATCTAAGTGTATAGTGTTTTTGTATATACATTTATACAAATATATATAATCTTTTCTTAATGACGTTAGAGGATCTACAAGGCCCATGCCATTCTTGAGCTGAGGTGATTTTAAAAGTTAAGACAGTTCCTCATAGAAGAAAATGTTTTTGAAATAGATGTTTATGAACTGTTTAATTGATCAATGGCAAAGACCTCTCCTTTTTAATTAACACAGCAATTGTACATGCTTATTTAGTATGATGAGATAACTCAATAATGTATATACTACATTGTAACACGATAATTAAAATGACCCAGAGATTGATATCGGGGTTCAAACTTCCAGTTGAAGAACAGAAAACTAAAGTAGTGGGCCAATAGTTCTTACCACTACCTCAGGATGAATGGGCTGATCCTGCTGCCTCTCTTTAGCATGGCAGGAGAATGAATGCCTGATACTGAGACCTTGCTCCTGTCTTATATATCTCCCTAATTCTGGGATTAAAGACATGATCTATAACTCTCTTTTAGACTGATTCATTCTAATGTAGCCTTGGGTGGCCTTGAACTAACAGAGATCCATCTGACTATATCTCCTGAATCCTGGGACTAAAGATATGTGTCATCACCTCCTGACCTCTATAGCTTGTGGCTGCCTTTGCTTTCTGAATCCTCGGGCAAGCTTTAATAAATCATAAATAATATATCACCATACTATATAATGATCAAAATGCCTCTGTATTTTGTATCATTTCATCATGCTTATTTTTCAGTCTCTTTTAAGGTTATCATAAATTACAGTCACCCTACTGGGCTTTAGAACATTAGAACTTGGAGGAAGGCTGGAAAACAGGTGGCAGAGGCTTTGGATACTAATTATTGTTATTGAGTTTATCCTTTGATACTAAAGGATACCATATCCTGTATGAGGTGCAGGATGCTAGGCAACCTCCTGGAGTATAAGGTACTCAGGGTCTGAACACTGAATTCCTCATCCTCATCAGCCTTCATTCCTGACCTTTTTTTATTTGTTTTTGTCTCCTTTACTTGAAACATCCTAAATCTGTCATTACACCCACTGCACCGAGGTACTACTCATTTCTCATGTTCCTCCTCAAAAACGTGAAGAAACCTGACCTTGTTCATTCCTTAGTTTAAATGAGTGAAAAACAATGTTCTCACAACAACCTATTTTTATACTTAATTTAGTTTAAATAAAGAAAAAGAAGATAATACATTTCTGAAACTAAACATGGAACAAAATGTTTCATGGAAATTTTTTGAAGTATAATTTATATGTTGTAAATATTTTACCTAGTAGACTTCAGTGAATTTACAGAATTGAGTGACCATTATCACAATTCAGTCATCAAAGTTTTCCAATCTTTTACAAATTTCCTTCCTTCCCATCTTCTGTGAATTCCTGCTCCTAACAACCACTGCTTTGAAATCTGTTTTTATAAATCTGAAATCTGCTCTCTTCTGGTAGTTTCCTAGATGGCTCATATAGTAGGCAGGCTTTGATTCTGTTTTCTTTCACTAAGCATAACATTATGAGGTTAATTGATCCTGTCATATATATCAGGTGTTTGGTTTCTTTAGTCTCTGGATAGTGTCCCATTGTAAGCGTGTATTATATTTTGCTGTTCATTCCTCAGCTGGTGAACGTTTGGACTTCTTCCAGTCTAGGACTATGATGAATAAGGTTGCTGCGAATATTCACATACAAGTCTTTGTGTGAATCATGTTTAATTTCTCTTAGAATCTTAAGAATAGAAAACATGAATTAGTTGTGTGACAAGGTTGCAGTTACCTTCACAAGAAGCTGCCAAACTCTTTCCAAAGTGGATTCCTTTTATATCTCCCTCCAGCAATGCATGGGAGTTTCTATTTTACAAAATTTTTTATTGGATTTACTTTTTTGCTTACCTGGTTATAGGTATTGAATGTGTAACATGATCCTTTTTTTGTGATCCAGATTTGCATTTCTTTAACAGCTAGGAATGTCAAGCACCTTTTATGTACTTACTAACTAGTTGTGTATCTTCAAAATAGGCTTTTTATCCAAGCTTTCTACCTGAAGATGGGTTGTTACACTATTACAGTGTGTGTAGAGGTGTGTATCTCTCTCTGTGTGTGTGTACACTGGATGTAAAACCTAAATATGTTTTACAGCTACTTTTCTACAATTTTGCTTGTTTTTTTCATTTTGACAATGATATCTTTGAATAATTTATGCTTTTCATATCTTATCTAACAATTCTTTGCCTACTCCAAAGTCACAAAGACTTTCCTCTCATGTTTCCTTTTAGAAGTGTTCTGATAGTTACTCATGTATTTAAGTACGTCATTTATTTTGAGTTAATATTTACATATGGTTTGAACTGGAGGTCAGAGTTTATAATTTACACATTGGTGTCTAGTATCTCAATATCAGGTGTTGACATGTGCATCTTTACACCAATGTAGAGGCTTGTAGTGTTGAAAGCACTAGAATTGCCATGGGTCATAGATGTCAGAACCAACATAAGAGTTCTAGACTACCCAAGGACAACCTTATGTTCCTGTTAATATTGATAAAGAGTCAACAATAGAAACAGTTCTCACCTCAAAGAAACACAAGAGATGGTTTATTATAGAGCCAAATATGAGTGATCTGGCCTAGGAACACAGATACAACTTTACTCACGTACTACATTCTAACATGGTAGAAGTTTTATAGTCTCAGAACAATAAAAATTCTAAGTCAAAACACTTCAGATACATTGGTGGAAACATCAGTTAGGTGGATTACAGAAAAGCTGAAAAATGTCATCTGTAGATCTCAGATGCTGACAGCAAACATTCTTATAGCTTTTTCATTGGTGGAAGCTAATGGTCTATTTCAACATTCCAAAATATTTACCTAATGGTCAGCAATATTCTTGGTCATGTGCAGAAGAGGGCAATAGGTATCTATTAATAGTGGTAAACATGGCTTGTAACAGTTAACTTCTCCAAATTGTTGAAGTGTAATAGCTTCATTCCAAGGATCCTCACTCACAAACTCTTTTCCTACATGTACTTATTATCACATTACATATTAATCTTCCTGAGTTTTATGTATCACCAATTCTCATTTTGCCATCATAATCTTGGGAAAGTGCTTGCTTTCTTGAGCATTGCGTTATGAAACACCCATTGGTATGAGCAGTGCTGTTTATATGGAAAGAAATGGTAACACTACACTGTACATGGCATATTTCCCCACTACATTTATACCAGCCCAGGCTTGCCCTGTAAAGGAGACATATTTAGAAATGGCATGCTTTTTACCAAAGCCAGCTACTCTAGATAAACATAGACTACAATAGTTACTCTGGTGACTCAAGAAGATCTATCTCACCTTTTATTAGCAAAGATCTTTCAAGTAACATAAAGTAAAAGCCAGATAAAGACTTCCAAAAGAGATAAGAGAACTTGACTTGGGAATCAGTGTCTTGGTCCTGGTTCTTCAGGAACTCTCTCAGCCATTGGGTTTTTCTAACTCCTTACCTATAAGACAATAGGCATAGATGGGATCAACAGCAAGGTTTCCCTCCCATCCTAGCCTTTGTTCAGTTGGACACTAGTGTAGTGGGTTGCTCTGATGATATACCTGTAACTTTCCTTGTCTGCAGACTGCAGTGAAGACCTGTTCCACTGCCACACAGGCAAGTGTCTCAATCACAGCCTCGTGTGTGATGGGTATGATGACTGCGGAGATCTGAGTGACGAGCAAAACTGTGGTAAGTAGCATTGATTCCTTCAGGGATTTTATTAGAAACCACAGGTATTTATGACCAAGAGCAATTACCTGTCTGTTCACTATGTGACCAGAAGGTTTCAAAACAAAACAGAGCTTCCCCTTTCAGAAAGAAGTGTTTGTCTGAACACTGGTCTCAGTTTTGCCTTCTGCATCAGCACCCTACTTCTCCCCTAACAGTCACACTAAGGAAATGTTAAGGGAGTGGAGTGGAAGGACGTGGACTTGTTAAAGTGCTGGTGCTTTTCTGGGTTGTGTTCTGTTTATCCTCTAGCTATAGAAGGCTTATGGTTGGATTTTGTGCTCTTGAGAAAAACTTTGCTGAGAGATATATTATAAAGTGTAACGTGTGGCCAGGGCTTCCACCCCCACAGCATATGACTTTAGCGACTCCTTGTGTGGTGTATTCACCACGGGTTAGGATGACAGACTGATTTTATGCGCAAATACTGATTTCTTGTCTTTACAAACATACACACTCCTTTGAAGGAGCACATTTAATTCTGCACTATGTCTTTGGAACCTAAACCAGCAAAAATAACTCTTGCTTATTGATCTGCATAGCTTGTGATTAGCTTTACATTTTCATAGAATATATTATTGACAGTAGGAAATTTGCAATATGTACCAAAGAGCAAGCTGGAATTAAGACAATTGTTGGACAATGGTCAATATTTGGGACTGTCTAAAGGGATTCTAGAAAGGATTAGAGAGTGAGGCAAAGAAAGTCTCCAAGTGGAGATGGTCAGAAAATAGCTCCAAGCTGGGAAATTTGCTAGTTTCTAGATGTCTTGTCCAACTTCCCTTCACTGCACTCATAAAATATTAAAAACTCTAGGTGTATAATCCATTAACAAGTTATCAGATATAGGTGGGACTGTCTAGATTTGGGACAAAGAATGGGAGACAATTGTAATCTTGTCCATCACAAAATCTATTGTGAAGAACCCTTACAGTTCATCTAATCTACACCCCTCCTTTTTACAATGAAGTAACAACCTGGAGGTTTGGAAAGCATCCCAGTAGGTGGAGTTTAAAAACTAGGTGTGTTAGTAGGCAGTGTACATATGTAAAACAGAATTGTGAGTAGAAAAGGCCTCTGAAGATAAGCACATGTTTCAAAGTCTATGCCTTCAAGATGTCTTCATTAAATGGCAGAAATCATAGTCCTCACTTGACCCAGTCTTTGCTCTGCTCTCTGTCTCCAGTGGACCAAGCATGGGTGGATCTCCTGGTTCCCGCCCAAGCATCCTCTCTTGTGTTTACTTCTTTTTGCCACACCATGCCTCCCGCATTCTCTGCTTTTCTTCTCTACGATTCCCATTATGATGCATTGTTGCTCGGGAGACCATGACAGTGGCCACATTCAGACATGAAACTTTCTTGTTATTGCATCTGCTCTTTGTGAAACCTTACGATTCATAGAACTGTTAGAATTATGTTACAATACCCCTCAGAGCAAAGCAGTCCATGAATTCTTCCCTTTAAGAGAGAAAACGTGCCACTTAGCGAGCTCCCCCACTTGCCATATTCCAGGAATGTGTGAATTGGGACAGAGTAGATCTCCAAATGCAAAGAAATCATAAAAACAAAACAATAATGGTTTTCCTTTCTTGCCTAGCAGTTCTTTCAAACATGAGCTATAGATTAGGATAATCCAGTTGAAAGCCTAAGCTCAGCATCAGGAGGGATGACATAAGAAGACACTCATCTTTCCAGCTTGGCAGGGAAATGTAATTCTTAGGAACACAGCAGGCCTGTTACAGACACATCAATCAGCCATCTGTATCCTGCAGCTCAAAGATTACTTCTGTTCACTTTACTCACTGTAAAAGTCATAGATTTTAACCCCTAAATAAAGGAAGCAAGGCATGCCAGCAATTACACCTGCCCCGAGAAGTAGATGAATCTTTGCCCACAGGAATGTGGACCATGGGGCTTGGTCTGGTGGAAGGGTAACGTGAACTTGGCTGGAGCCATCCTAGGACCAACATTAATGATGGAACTGAAACAATGAGAGTAGATTCTCTTCAACTGGATCTGTGGGCACAAGTCTAAATTTTTTACGTGCTCTTTCTTTCCATCTTCGTGACCTTTCATTTTCTCTAGATTGCAATCCCTCAAAGGAGCATCGCTGCGGGGATGGGCGCTGCATCGCAGCTGAGTGGGTGTGTGATGGGGACCATGACTGTGTGGACAAGTCTGACGAGGTCAACTGCTGTGAGTGCCTGCCCCCCAGAAGTCTCATTTTGCTTGTTGTTATTTTTGTTACTGTTTAGACTGCATGGAAACCAAAGTCCATGATGTAAACAGCACGTGGGGAGGATGATTGATTAAGCTTCGGTTCTATTGATCAGACTCTGTCTTCTGTCTATGAATGTAGCATTCAAGAGGTGTGAGAACAATATCAATATAGCTCTGACCTCAGACCCCTCTCCTCCAAAGTCCAAGCTTAAACTGACTGATCTGGCCCAGCAATATCTGCTTTTTCTCTTGCTGCTCCTGTATCCTTCATGTGTCTGGGAGTTTTCCAAAGGCAAGTGTCTTCCCAGAGACCAGGGAGTTCCCCTTTTCTCTGCAAATTATATATGAGCAGCCAAGCCTCTAAACATGTTCTCAGGGCTCTCAGGGGTTATTTGTGGGAGATGTGCCAGAAAGAAGGAGCCCGTTATAATTCTATAGTAACACAGAGACGGTGATATTAATTATTATTTTATAGCAGACTGTGTTTCTACAGAATTGTTAAACATGTTATCTCTCAGAAATGAAAAAAGTTAACAGTAGCAGTTGCATGTTGAAATAGTACAACTGACCTGCAATGATTAAAAAGTATGTATCTCACTAAACCTTTTAGTTCCCTTAGTAGAAAGGCTTAGCACACAGCTTCCATGTTGTATCTGCACTGATTACAAGGCACTGGGTAGATCTCACAATCTGAAGATGTTCAGGCTCTTTATATGGAAAGGCATGGTACTTGCGTTTAGTCCATTCATAGCTCCTATGTACTTGAAGTCATTCCTAGTTCGCTTATAAAACACAATACAATGTAAACACTCTATATATAGTTGTTATACCGAATTGTTTAAGACATAATAAGGAAAACACTGCACATGTTTAATACAAGTATTTTGCCCCAATGTTTCTTTTTTGAATCCATAAACTTAGAATCATAGATATTGTATATGAAGTTGCATATTTACTTAGCTTGTACTTTGAGGCAAAAATAGAAATACAGATAATATAGTTCTATTATGACATATGGAAAGTTGTATAAAAAGTTCCATAGTCATGCTACCTGGCTTTCTCTTCCCCTACTTAATTTGAAGTCCTTGCTTTGCAAGCCAGTGGAACAGAGTGGCTGTATTAAAGTACTAAGGAGAGCAAGGGGCCAAAGAAAACACATCTGGTGAGAAGCCTCGATTCAGGAAGTGGGTTTTAATGTTAGGTGGCAATTCTTTGACGACTGTGGTCACGTGACACGTGGGTTCCTGATGCTTTAAAATGCAGGAAGTAGAGAGTTTTGAGAAATCACAAGAATCAGAAAGCTAAAGGTAACCAGATACCTCCCCTCCAGACACCAGTCGTAAATATGTTAGATAATAAAGTATTCACTGTGCAATAGGTATTCTGGGAGTTCTTTCAAACACATGATTTCATTAGTGCCTTAGATTAGGAAGCTGTGGAATGAAAGGTTAGGCCTAGAGCCAGACAAGCTCGATTTTATAGTCTTCCCATACCTCCCAGCAGCCTTGTGACTTAAAAATGGGTGTTGCATTCTCTCAACTTCAGTTCTCTCATTCGTAAAACAATGGCTATCACATCTGTTTCCAGGGATCTGAATTTGATGTACATGATGCACCTACAAAACACACCCCAACTGCAATTTTTAATCATTTCCAGTAGCATCGGAAAGCCCTCAGTTGGTAACACGTGCTCTTTTATAATGAAGAGAAAATTTAGAAAGAAAGAAAACCCTCCATTCCAGAAATTCTTGGAATAAAAAAAAATAAGTAGTGCTACATTTCAAAAAGTATTGCCCAACACATCCTTTGTTGGTGATACCTGATTTGCATGACCAGTAAAATGCATCCATAGATAAAGCAGCTCTTCTTCCGGCCTCCCCTAGCTTGTCACAGCCAGGGCCTGGTGGAATGCAGAAGTGGACAGTGCATTCCTAGCGCCTTCCAGTGCGATGGAGACCAAGACTGTCAGGACGGGAGTGACGAGGAGAACTGCGGTGACAGTGAGTGTGTCCCCGGTGTCCCCAGCCCCCAGAGTGTTCTTGTATTGGTGGATCTTTCTTTGGGAGAACAAAATGGAACATCTGGCAGTGGGATTTCCATACAGATGATCCCAGATTTCCTGGTCACCTTTTCTCTTTGTGAATACTAGTAACACTTTAGTAGCATGGGCTGGAAACTTGTTCCTAAGACTAGAGAGGAAGCCACATGCTCAAATTCCATTGAGCCTTCTACGGGGAAAGCCTAATAAAGAGAAAACTTTAATGTGTAGCATGCAACTGAACGTGATTAGATCCCCAAAAGAAGGGATTGGCTCATGTAATCAAGGGTGACAGCATCCTAATTTGGCCATGTTCAGAGAGCCAGTTTAATGTTTTGCATTGCCAAGCAACAGACTTAAATATACTTTTAGAAAAGAACATAATATCCATGCCTGAAACTTAACACAGAAAGTGGAAGTTAAACATGTTAGGTTTTAAACGTGATCATTTCTTGAAGAAAAAGGCAAGCCCCACACTGGTAATTTTAAGACCTGATTTGTCTGAGAACCTCCCAGTGTGGAGTTGACAGAATATCCCCAGACTGAATACACACTCCCCCCATTTTGGTTCATATGGCAACAGCATCACACACTGGGAATGAGCATGCCGTCGCACCCCTGGTGCTGAGTTTCACGCCCCATGCGACTACTCGGTATCTGGGTGGCTTTAGGTGAGTCAATCCACTTTTCTACATTACAGCTTCCGCATCAGCTTAGATGATGCTAAGTCCTGAGTGGGGCAAATGCCTAGTGAAAGCTGAATAAACATTGCCTGTTGTTACATGGCTAGCATGGGAATTCCGCCTAACAAAACAGTTGATGGAGCACGATAGGTAAGCTTATAGTCAGTTGGCCCAACTGTGCAGCGCAGGCTGGAAAGAATCCAGGGTGCTGTGCTTCTGTGTGCGTGGCAGAGAGCCGCCAGAAACAAAGTTTGTGATGGAGATATGCTAGAGGGTCAAGCTGAAGAATGAGAGGTGCCCTCGAGGAAGAGGGCGTCTCAGAAGAGCACAGCAGACCCGCAGCACCACACGGCCAATGGTCTTGAGATAGGAAGTGCGAGATGAGTTTAGACTGCAGAGTGAAGACCATGATGTGAGCTTTCCTACAGGCTTCTTCCTGTTGCTTTTCTGCTCCGAAAGCCCTTCTCTCCTTCTCATGACAACTTACCCCACTTCTTTGGGCAGCTTTGACCTCCTGACTTAGTCTGCTTCAACTGTACTTGATAAATGCCGCTGGTAAAGTCGTGTTTTCACAGCTTAGTGAGGTGTGAGCCACACCATCCGTGTTAGACTTTGAGATCCACAGAGGGATCCATACCCTTTTGTCTTTCAGTATTCAGTTCCTGGCTTGTCACACAGGCTTGCCACAAAGCAGGCACTTAATATCTGCTGGACTATTGAATGCATGATGTCCTAAAATGTCACAAAGAGAGTCCACTTATGAAAAATGTTTAAAGTTGCCTTGAGGAAAACAAAATTGTCCCTGATAGCTTTAAACAACAACAGTGACATCATTTCTGCAAGGTGACAATATATAGCATAGAGGGAATGGAAGAATTCCAGTATAATACACAATGCTGCAAAATTATGGATAAGGATGATTGTATATATACATATATGGCTATTTAAACTCAAGAGTGCCTTGAAAGGTATTCTGGATTCCAGATGGCATGTCTGAAAGTAATTGACCATAATAATGGGGAGAGATGTAAAGAGAATGGGTAGCAATTTATTACTTTGTTCACTTAATCTACAAATGACCAGGAAATTAATGGCAAAAACAGTTTCCTCTCCATACAACTTAAGGAAGAGCCATCGGGGCAGAGACTGCTGTTGCTACCATTCATTTAGAGAGAAGAAATCCTGATCTTAGCTCATCAGAGCTCAGCTGATTATACTAAAAGTATGGGTAGCAGCTGTGGAAGACTTGCACTATGATAAAGGATTCTTGAAATAGTGCATTCATGTTGATGCCCTGTTGATTATCAGGGAAAACATTTTTCTTAGTCTGGAGGCTTAGGGGCAAAGGACTGTTTAAGACATCATTTACAAACCAGATTGTCAATATCTCTAGATTACAGTCTTGCCTTCACATCGTTTGCATTTTATCTTGTGGAGTATAGGCACTGTTGTAAAGACAGTGTATGCTTTTCCCCATTAGAAGTTGTTTTCTTAAGTTTGGTTTGCCTTTCTTTTGTTCATTTCTGTGGAATTCTTTTGGATGCTTGGCTGTAGTTAATTGGTGGGATGATGAACCCAGAACATACTTATTCCATATGTGTTTAATATTTGGGGGGAGACTGGAAGGAAATTAAAGTTGTGTCACCCTTCAGCTCCAAGAGACATTCTTAGTCCCTCAGATGGAGGTCTGGGAATTGGCAGGTGATAAAAACTACCGGGTTTTCCCTCTTCCACAGGTCAGGTGCCTTGTCCAGAAGGAGATCAGGGGTGCCTCGACAGTTCCTGTCTCGATTCATGTGCTGGTAGCTCTCTGTGCAGCTCAGATGGCAGCCTGAGGAATTGTAGTAAGTACCACAGCTGACTTGGACAGTCTCTGCAACAGACTGTATGTTCAGCTTCTTCCTACCACATTGCCACAAACGACTGAAGTTTGGAATTGCTCCAAAAAAGTATATGTATATATGTTTGCTTTTTCTTTTGTTCAAAGGTTGCATGTGGTAGCAGAAAAGAACCAAAATGGTCTTCATTAACTAAATAAGAAACAAATGTGTGACTGTGGCTGGGCCATCAATCCACATTGCTTAATGTCATTACCACCACTTTCAACTCAACATCAGCTCCTATAAATTATTTTCATGGTTCCATCTGCAGGCAGATGTTACCTTTCTTCTTTCTAAAGGACAGCTTCCAAACTGGAGACTTCATCTAAGAAGCAGATAGGAGATTCATTGAAACATTCGCATGGAATTTGATCAGTCTGTTCTTCCAGTAGATGTGTTCTCGCCATTCCAGATACGGTGGTGAGCTATGACGGACTGGGAATTACTGCGTTCATCTGTCTCAGGGACAGTGCAGTGACTCCAATGGTGAAAGCAGGTGGCTACCTCCAAATTGGTTTTTAGTAGAGACTAGCAGAGGGAAGCCCGAATGGGCAAGAGTGAAGAGTACCTAGTAAACTCCCATAGGAAATTTGAACTGAACTTGAAAATTTCCAAAGACTGATTTTTTTAGAAATGATTTCTTCTCCCTGAACTCAGTTAGGATATCACACTCAGCTCTTTTGAGTGGGATAATTAATTATCCCATCTTCAGCTTGGGGTTAAAAACTTAGAAGCAGGCCAGTCAGTTTTCAGATATCAGGAGAGATTTACTTCATCATATACTCGTTCCATGAAGGCCACCAGAAGCTTTGAGGCCAGTAGCCTGAGGGGACAATGTGCTTCCAGTGGACTTGTAACATTTGAGCTGTATTATATCCTTGACCAGGACATCCCAGTATATCAGTGCTCATGGATACTAGTAAGCTATTTGGCTAAAAGCAAAACCCTCATCTCTCTGTAGTCTCACATGAGGGGACCATTGCTCTTACATATTATATTAGTCAATCTTTTTGGTGATAATGACACAATACCACAGACAAAGTAATTAACCAGGAAAAATATTTATTTTGTTCATAGATCTGGTTCAAGTTTGAGGGGGCTCCATATGGCCTTGTACTTCCTTCATCCAGAAAATCAGAGTAGCATAGGACATCCCATGAAGGCAAAAAAGAGGTATCGCTCTCTTAGCAAAGGCCCCCAATGCTCAGCTATGGGCCAACCCTGATGCTCTCATCACCTCCTATAAGTGCCACTTCTAGGCATCTTCACTCTTAACACCTCACAATGGGATTAAGCTACATGATTTCAGCACAGAACACAGAAACACCATATGAAAGAACAGTAGACATCAGTCTGGTTGTTAAGACAACATCAGCAGGGGTAAGAGACACAATTCTTGCCTATCATGCACAAAACCCTGATTTCAGTCTTTAACACCCACATTCATTCCTGTCCATAATTACAACACTTAGTATGCAGTGTCAATAATATTAGAAGTTCAAGATCATATTTAGCTATTTGATGTGTAGCTGGTATATATGAGACATAGTCCCCAAAATGTTCTTTAGTAATACAAATGATATAAAAAGAAAAGAAGATACACTGACCACTCTCAGTCAGACATATCCAAATTACATATTAGCATATAAATATGTACATATGAGTCCTGGGTTCATTGATTCCATGGTTTTATTCTACTTGTGTCGCAATCAGCTCTGGGTCTTTTTTTTTTAAAGAATGATTTATTTTTATTTCAGTTTCAATTTTGGATGTATAATTTTGAAGTGTGACAGTCATGTCAAAGACATGTGCTTAGTATTATAAAATTTAATATTGTTTGACATGGAATGACACTGTCAGACTAAAAAATGTAGACAGGGAAATGTTAGCCTGTGCTGCATACAGGAAGAAGGGAAACTGAAAATCCCATTTTCTCTACTTTGAAACACTTCAAAATCTAAAAGTTTAGGGGCTAAATATAGCTCAGTGGTTAAAAGTACTAGCTGTTCTTCCAGAATACCTGGGTTCGATTCCCAGTACCCACATGGTGGCTCATAACACTTGTAACTCAAGTTTCCAGGGATTCAACACTCTTTTCTGGCCTCTAGGGGCACTGTATGCACATAGTGTACAGACATCCAGGCAGGCAGAATACCCATACATATTAAAATAAATAGTAGGGAAGGGGGAAGGACATGAGAGATCAGGAAGGTCGAGTTGGGGGAATGCCAGAGAGGGAGAGCAAGGAAAGAGATACCTTGATAAAGGGAGCCATTATGGGGTTAATGAGAAATCTGGCACAAGGGAAATTCCCAGGAATCCACAATGATTACCCCAACTAAGACTCTAATCAGTAGTGAAGAGGCTGCCTTAAATGCCCTTCCCCTATAATGGAATTAGTGACTACCTTAGATGCCATCCTAGAGCCTTCATCCAGTAGGTGATGGAAGCAGAAGCAGAGACCCACAGCTAAGCATGAGCTGAACTCCTGGAATCCAGTTGCAGAGAGGGAAGAGTGATAATATGAGCAAAGCAGTCAAGAACATGTCAGGGAAACCCACAGGCACAACTGACCCCAACAAGTGGGAGATCATGGACCACAGTCTGACAGTTAGGGAACCTACACAAGACAGAACTAGGCCCCCTGAATGCAGTGACATTTAGGGAGCTTGAGAAGCTTATGGGGCCACTGGCAGTAGAACCAGTATTTATCCCTAGTGCATGAACTGTCTTTTTGGAGCCCATTCCCCATGAAAGGGATACCTTGCTCAGCCTAGATATGATGGGGTCGAAGTGTGGAGGGGGTTGGTCCTACCCCAAATGATGTGACAGACTTTGATGATTCCCCATGGGAGGCCTCACCCTCTCTGAGGAGTGAATGGGGGTAGGGTGGGGAGATTGTGGAGGGAATGGGAGGATGGAAGGGAGAGGGAACTGGGATTGTTATGTAAAAGAAGTTTGTCTTAAAATTAATTTTTAAAAATCTCAAATTTTTTTCCAAAATCTAAAAATTTAGAGTACAGTGTCATCTTATAAAAAAGAAGCATAGGAAGGACAGGCAGCTAGCTTTGGCTTATGCATTAAGCAGAACTTACAGTGAGTGTACAAGGTTCTAGGCACATAATGGCACTCTCCTCTTTAAGGGAGAAGACAGGAATCATGTCTGGCTTACCGGAGGAAACTTGGAGCACAGAGGAAAACCCTGTCGTACCCTGACACACATTCACCATGTTGTTCTTTTCATGTTCTTCCAGCATACACTTTCCTTAGCATCTCCTCAGGTCGGACATTCTCCATGTACACCTCCACTAACTCCTTTCCATACCCAGCAAACACCTGGAGATAGTTTCTTCTGAGTGTTAGACACTGAACCAGTTAGTTGGCATGTGAACAGTACTGTTTGGTTTGATGCCCTTGATGCTGTGAGTGAAGAAAGTTGATGCTCATCTTGGAGAACCAGCATGTCACCAAACCTTCTTGGATTCTGGTCTCTGAAGACACTGGTTCTTGCCATCTCATAGAAGCCACACAGCTTTCCAGTGACCTCTCAAGATGCTGTTGTGACCCCCAACTGTTGCAGAATAGAGTATTTTTCTAGCCATGTAAAGATGAGTTGCTTTTATTTATGCTGAATTTGTCTATGTAAAGATGTGTTGCTGTTCTACCGTGCCTGTCTAAGGCACCTGATTGGTTTCATAAAAAGCTGAATAGCCAATATGTGGGCAGAGGAGGGATATACAGGGCTGCTAGGGAGAGATAAAAGTAGAGTCAGCCAGTTAGTAGGGTGTGTAGGGTGGGTGTGGAGGATAGCCTTCCAGGGGCAAGACAGACAGACAGACATGGAGGAAGAAGGAAAGCGGGATAGACATTAAATGAACCTCAGAACAGCGCATAGATGAACAGAAACAGGTTAATTTAAGTTTAAAAAACAACTAGTTAAAAATAAGTCTAAGATAAGGCTGAGAATTAGTAATTAATAAGTCTCTGTGTCATAATTTAGGGGTTGGCAGTCCAAGACAGCCTTCCATACCCAACCGGAAAATTATTTTCATTGCTACTTCATAACTATAATCTTGCTACTGTTATGATTATTAATGTAAATATCTGTTTTCCAATGGTCGTAGGTGGACTCTGTGAAAGGGTCACTCGACCCCCAAAGGGCTCATGACACACCTTGGGAACCATTTCACTAGAGAAAGTATGTGGCTTACTTTCCATTACAGCAAATGTCTACAATTATGAACAAAATCCTCAAGTTTACATTCTGTGACTTAGACTATATACTGAAAGGCTTAAAGTATCAGAGAAACAACTTTGAACAGCCTGGGCTATTCTGTCCATGTCTACCTGGCATCTATCTTCATGCCTGTAGGGGGCAAATTGCAGACATTGCCTTGCATTGGGGGTAGGAGTAGAAATGATGTTTTTATGGCATAGAGGGACAAATCTATCACTTTTTTCCCATAGAATATAATCCAGGTGAAGAGAAGCACCAGCTGGAAACTGTAATTTCCATGATTGTATTCCTCTTCGTACCCGTGTTCATCAGGACCCCATGAAGCCTGGTGTCATGCCTCTGGGTATTTTCCAGTGTTCCCGGTGTTCTAATTCCCTTTACTTCAGTATGGCCACTTACTTAGTCTCTTCACTTCCTAATGCTCTTATTGAACTTTGGGGAAGAGGAAGGAGTAAATACCTTTGCTGTAGATAACTTCCTTCTCATCTACAATTTCTTGTTTGAGCTTTGCAAACTCCAATTGGAAGAAGCAAATAGCTATCATCAAGAAGGAAGACATTAACATGGTTAAAGACATCAGTTCTTGGTAGCAAACAGATAGGAGGAATGGTGTCTTTCTACAAGGGTCCCCACCTGCCAAGTGAATAGATGATTAACTGGCATATTATTACTGGGTGACATAATGAATTAATGAATGGAGGCATGGAACATCTACAGCTATTGACAT